TAATTGAATGCATATTTACAATGTAATTGGTTATAATTGTATGTTCATTTAAAATTTAAGTAGAAATTTTCATATTTAAAAATTTTGCTAAATTAAATAATCAGAAGAATATTGGCAAATGTAAATTACATCGTCGAAAAGGAAATCTATTAGTCGAAAGGATACCAACTTTTAGAATTTCAGCACGAAAATTTTTTGGAACATGAAAAAAATGATCTGTCGGCGACTTATTTAATTAACATTAATCTTAAAGTCAATTTTTTTCCAAGGAAATATACGAAACGCAATGATTTGTTGTTCTGTAATTGTTTTGATGTAAAATTATATACTTTTAGGCTTTGATTTGAGCTTGGACTTGCCCTTATGCTTGGGTTTCGCCTAGGCCAGGTGTTAGGATCAAGCAAATGTTTAGACCGAGACTTAGGCGAAGGCCAACGTTTAATCTGAGGATTGCCCAAAGTTCCGGCTTTGGCCAAGGCTTAGGATTAATCGAAAGACTACTCCTAGGCATAGGCCAATGATTCTGAGGCTTGGCCTAGGATTTGGCCATGGCCAAGGATTAAACCAAGAACTAGTCCTAGGCGTAGCCCAATGATTGTGAGGCTTGGCCAAGGCTTAAAATTGGACCAGGACTTAATCTTAGGCATCGGTAAAGCTCAACGCTTATTTCGAGGCTTTGCTAAGGATTTGACTTCTACCAAGACTTAGAGCAAGGCATATTCTTTAGCTTAGACGGTTTATGTAGAATCATCTTAATAGAGGATAATGGTCCGAGGGAATGTGAGTTTGAGCAAGATTTTTCATAATATAAATATAATTGATAAAAAAAATCAATAAAATTTAATTGATTATAGGAAATAACCGAGAAAGCAATGGTTTCGCATAAAATGAGAACAATAATTTTCACTGAACATTAGTATATTCTAAATGGATGAAGCCCAAATTTTTTCATGTCTCTTTTATGCTTTCTTCTTGAAGGGTCACCATTAGTAGTTAAATCCGCTTCGCTGGCTTCCTACGTTCAACGAATATTCCAAATAGTGCATTGATTGTCAATAGTGATAGATATGAGTCGTCAGCATCAATCACTCGAATTTTTCCAATAAGGTTTTCCCAATGGGGAATAGAACCTCAGCATAGGCACTCCAATCTGAGCAACAACCACTGAGACATTCGATGTCCTCTTTAGTATTTGAAAATTGCATTAATTATATTGTTTTTATTAAGATTAAATATGATAAAGCAATGGTTTCTATTATACCACAGCAGCTTTCACGGACGATTAATGCACCTTACAAGAATGCAAGAACTCCATTTTTTCCCATATCTCTATAATATTCTCTTTTTCATGAATCTACACCATTTATAGTTAAGCTCGCTTCGCTGGCTAGCTACACTGAACGAATATTCCAAGGAGTCCATTAAGGATGGAAGTAGCGTTTCTCGAATTCTTCAACAAGATTATCCTAACGAGGAAGAGAACTGCAGCATGGGCGAATATAACAACAACTACCAAGCTATTCGACCATCGTTTCAGAATTCGAGTTAATTTTTAACGATAATGTGGAGAGCAACAACCCAACATGGTTTGTACCTTACATTTTCCAAAACTCCTACAAAACCGATTTTTTAGGTAAAGCCTCAATGCAATCGAAGGAAACATTACCTGTTTTAAGCGACATGGAAAATATCAAAACCAATTGCATAAAAAAAAAATTTGTCATAGGTCATTTGTCGCTATTATGTCGCTATAGGGTTTTCGCTATTTTGTCGCTCGATTTGAACGACGGATTGATTGTGCCTTATCCTTTTCACCGATAATGGTTCCTCACTGAACCATAGCAAAAAAACACCATATTAATGTGATTAACATCTTTGCTTCGGTCCTTCTTTAAAATTTGCAAATGATTTTCTTTTAATATTGTGTTTTAATATTTTTTGTGAACTTGCTGAACTCAAAAATAGAATTTCCTTCTGAGAGGAGCATTTATTGTCGCTGCTTTGATGGGCTATGCTTTCTCACAACGATTATATCATTATAAAACTGGGGTGTGGTATTGTTAATCGAGACTTACGAAGACCTGGTTCACTTGCAAAAAATTTTTGTTATAGTAATTAGCCAGTAAAATGGACCTAACGTGGGAGATGGTGAACGATAATTACTTTTTTGCTTATTTTTCACTCTTTACAAAAACATATTTGATATTTGATTTTTGCTAATGGTAATTGGATTTGGATTTTCCTTGTCCAGATTTTATTTTTCATTGTCATAAATCAGATGTAAAAATTCATAGATTCAAAAGCTTCGCAGGGAATTTGTGGAAGTGCAGCTATTCTATATGGTTTCAAACCAATATCTCTTCCAGTGATCCTTGTTATCCTCCCACTGCAGCATCTCAAATATACCTCTATCTACCTGTATCTCATGAGTATTCTGAAAGTGATGGAATGCCACAGTTTCAATTGTTTGATTCCTCGTCCCCTCACCATCCTTCTATTTCTTCTTCATATCTTCCTCAAGTCCACTACTGTATATATCATTTTCCATTACTTCTGCTACATTATTAATGCTTCATTAAAGCCTCATTTGGCACTTCTCAGTCAGTTCATCTCCTCACTTCCTTTATGATTGTTTTTATTCTTACTGATGATATCACGTGCTACATTAATGCTTGCTTAATTTTTTTCATTCTATTTTTACATCACATCAAAATATTTGTCAACAATTGTCCATCCTTCTGGTCGCAAGGATCAATTTTTTCTTTTAAAGAACTCTGTTCTTTGTGGTGTAATATTTATAGTGGTGTTGTCTGCTAAACGACGGTTAAATTTATTTAAAAAAATTGTTTTCTTTATCAAAATTGCTTGATGTATAATGCAATAGATGTAATTTAATCGAATAAATTTTTAATATCGAATAAATAAACTGTGGGAGAACCATAATCTTATTTTTATAAAAAACCACCATTCCTAGTGGAAATTAGGTGAGTATTTTGCGCTTGTAATTTGCGGTTAGGCTAGTTCCGCTGGAAATTTTATTCCTTTGGGCAACATGAGATGGAAGAATTAGTGGCTCACTAGCACCACTCGAGTTTTTGAACAGTTTTGCTCGTATATGAAATTAAGCCTATGCTGGTACTGATATTTTTTTAAACAATTTGCCGATGATAGTTTGCCTAGATATCGAACTGTTCAAAGAGAGTCAGTCAGGTCAGCTAACTTCAAGAAAGACGCGATTTCAAGACGACTCCAGTTATTTCACTGGAGTTTACAAATTTTGCTCTAGGATTTTCCACTTTTTCATTTTTTTCCTTTAGATAAAATTTAAATAATTTTAAATTGTTTTAATTGGATTAATCTTGTTTAGTTCGTTACCTTGTGTGATTCTTTAATGAAAAAAGAATGCATCAGGAGACTACTCAATCGCCATTGCCAGATTGGCGAAAGGGTCCTCGCAAAAAAGGTCCACTCAGTTAACATCCCACATGAAAATGAATGGCACAAAGCAGTGCGAATCAAAACAGACTTTGGGTCCTTCTATGCAGATAATTCCTTTTTCAATGATATTGTGTATTTTTCTCATTGAATTCACAAAAAATGGGTTTTTTTTTCTTCTAAAAGATTGCCTTTTATTTGGCTAGCTTCACCGTCTAAGAACAAACCTGTCATTAAAAAATCCGCGTACTCTTATTAGCTCTATTGTCTGATCGTTTTTTTTTAGAGATGTGGTTCACTGGCAAAAAGATTCTCTTTATGTTAAGTTGCTAGTGAAAAGGAACCTAGCCTGAGGGATAACTATGAGGAGCGATAACAGTTCGCTTATTAAAGGATATGACATGCTAGAATAAGGAAGTCCGATTACTATTAGCAAAATTCCATACAAAATGTTGTTTTATAACCTTCGGACCCTTCAGACTTTCCTTTTCTAGCATATTGCATCAGACGTAAAAATTTTCAGATTCAAAAAATTCGCAGAATAGTTATGGAAGTGCAGATGCTCCCCGTAGTTTCAGACTGTTTCCACCTGCCAATGATCTAATTGTTCTCCAATTACAGTGTCTCTTGCATATCGTCTACGTATTCTAAAAATGTTGGAATACAACAGCTTCAGTTGTTTGATCCATTATTCTTGATTTTTAATGATGTCTTGCTAAGTCAATTAATTTAATTTGTACTTAATTTATCTGTTCATAGACTTTAATTTTGTTTTAGAATAGAATTATAAATGCAGAGGTATAAAGTTCTAAATTCTAAGAGACCATTTTCTAAGAAGCAAACAGCGATCACTCTCATATTGCTTCTTTTTCTTGCAAAATTTTTTATTAGAAAATTGTTCCACATTTGTCCACCGATGTTGGTCCGACAACCAATTTTTCTTTTACAAAATCCTTATTTCTTTGTGATTTTATATTTATGACGCGTTTGTCTGATATGGAAATATTATACTATAATATAGTTGATTTATTTTGGTGATATAACTGTATTAATTCCACAAAAGCACATTGTACAAAAATGGGTCCTAAAAAAAAATGCATAATTTTTTAGCTAATGAGGAAGCCATCTTTCTTATTTGTGTTGAGAAAGTTAGTCAAAAAACTGTAACATTTCTGTTTATTCTATTTTCTTATATAAATCTCCTTAAGTTCTAAAAAGCTTTTTTCATTTTTTCCAATTTGCTTATTTTTCTAAAATTATTTCTAAATTTTTCATATTAATTTCATGCTATTAATTTTCATATTTTCATATTAAATGATCAGTTTTTAATTATATAAATTTTTTCGCAAAATACAATGAAAGAAATAAAAAGGTGAAAAAAATAAGCTAAAAAATCTCTTTTTTCGGGATTTTTTTTCATTCATGAGAAATACAGTATATGATATACGAAGCATGCAGAAAATTGATTATTTTAATGCAATCGCTGTTAATTATGATAAGTGGTGGTAGCAAGCGGTAGTAAGTGGTAGTGATAATTATGGCAAATGATATTAAGGGTGATAGTTTTAATCACGATACAATGGATTCTCGACGAATATCGAGCATTCATCAGCATAGCGAAGATAAGAATCGCTATACTGTCTGTAATATCGTTGAGGTTCTCTGAAAGATTTATTATTTATTGAGACTTTCTAAAATTATTTTTCAATAATGATTTTGTGATTGCCTATCGTGTCAATGTTCAATTGGGAAATTAATTCCAATTAATTACTGATCTGCTTCTGTTCCATTTGAATATTTTAGGAAACCCTCTGGAGCTTATTTGCTATTCTATACAAGAATTTAGAAGAAATATTTCAGTAAAAAAATTTTCAACAAAAACCTGTAAAGGAAATCGGTCGATCGATCATCCTCATATGAATATGGGTTGGCATAATAAGGTACATATGCAACTGTTTCTATAAATGGACTGACTGGTTTCCCATCATGCACCGATAACCATCGACTTTTCTTTATGATTTTCTTCATCGGAATACTTCCACTATTTATGCTAGGACTTGTTGGTGAAAAATAAGCGGAATGAAGGCTTCGATCGTTTGAAGCTAATGAATGAGGTGATGGCACTTGCTCTGCAATATTTGATCAAATTTGATATGATAGAATTTTGAAAAATTTTGAAATAGAATATGAAATATATGATAGAATTTTTTTTCTTCACTGATAGGATTTTATTTTCTATTAACGCTTATACAAGCGTTAATAGAAAATTTTTGTTATTCACGAGCTTTGATTAAAACTTACAACAGAATTTATTTCCAGGTTTTAGCAGGGTTTTCCAAATTTCCTAACAAGAAAAAAGCGATAGTTGAAAAAAGAAAAGTGAAATAAGTATTATGCACCATTAAAAGATGAAATACTTCTGGAAGTTGGTGAATTAATACCAAAATTTCTAGTAATATCAATTCGTGGTATAGTTAGTGGAAGAGCATCAAAAGGTTGTATAAATTTGGGATGGCGAATATCATCTATTGGCATAACTGGAGTGACTGGCCGAACTGGAGTAACTGTTCGTACTGGTTCTTTCGGCTGTAATTTTTTCATTATATTTGTCGCTAAAATTCTTTATTTTCTAAATAGGTCTTATTCACTGAGCAAATCTTTTTCTTCAGCACATTTAGAGATTTTAATAGCAAAAAACAACTTTTCATAGGATAATTTTGTACTTTTATTAATTATTAAAAATTTCTTATAATTTTATAATTTTTAACTTTAATTTTTTATGAATCTGTGATAAATGGAATAATCTAATTTAAACAAAAAATTTAGTGAATAAAAGATATAAAAGATTAATATATAATAAAATTTTAAGGGGAGAAAGTCAGAGTTGCATTTATAGAATAGAATTTTAATGGAAATAATATGCGACATCGAATAAGATTTCAATTTAGGGTAACCTAAAGTAAATTTAGGTGATTTTACGGGAAATTTGACATCCACTTATACTAAACGCTTTGCGAATTATTGTATTTGTATACGTTTAATATATCGAACAAACCATTTGGCTGAATGTGTATTATTTTTATATTATAAAATTCCTTTAAACCAAAATTTTTTAAAGATAATTCGATATATAAAAATGAAAGCAATGAATACACGAAACTGATCATCTTCTCACTAAAACTTTTAACTCAAATTTATAAAAATTTAGGAAAATAAATATTTTAGAAACGTTTTCTGATGTTGAATATTTGTTGAGTAAATACTAAACATTATTTATTCATTGGCTATTGTAAATATTGTGCATCCTTTTCTTTCCTTCACTCATTCTTTCCTTTCCATCCTTTTCCTTTCCTTCCTTATTTTTATTTTATATTTTTATTTAAGAAAGTCTTTAGTCGATATTTGTTGAAAGAAAGAATTTCAACTTATTATTCAATGAAAAAGTTGTTGAGAGTATCGAACATTGAAAGCAATTTTAAGTGGCAGTAACAATTTTTATAACAAAATTGATACCAAATTTTTTTCAAAAAGATTTTGAGAAAATTCCTTAGCAAAAAAAAGAATAACTTAAAAAAATAACTTTAAACTAATTGCATAACAAATTGCTTTATTCTAAGAATTATATGAATGGTTAATTGATAAGTTAGATTCGTTATATTTTTTTATCATGGATAGCTCATAGAATATATCTTAAATCCACCTTCGCTTGTGCATTAAAAATATCGACAATACAAAGTATAGATTTTGCTAATTAGGACGCAGACATGGCCTTAGACGCTCATCACAGGAATTATCGCACATCTCCTAAACACGCGTCAAAAGCAACGAAGATTGAATTCGGACTCGAAGCCCGATATGTTCAGGTGAAATTTTGAATACATAGACTGTTCAGCGATGCAGACGGTGGACATTGGATGATATCGGCATCTCTTTGGGAGACTTAGAGATGTTTTATATTATCATCAATTGTCTTAAGTCATCAATTGAGCGAGGCAAACTAACAGTAGTGCGAATATTTGATGCAGTGTTGTTGCATTCACTGAACAAGCTAACATCAAAGTGTAAAACTAACATCTTTTTCAACCCTCAAAAGTCTTCCATTTTCATCTTGTCCATAAATTCTTCGTTCTGTATAAATATTCCGAGAATATCGTTCTAATGGCTGCAAATATCAAACGATAGTATAAAACTGCATTAAAAATATGCATGAAATATTAATAATATGTTGTCTAATTGTCTCAAATATTTTATGTTTGCTCTATCATCCCATATTATTGAATTAATACTTTTTTTTAAATGAAATTCATCAATTTTTATTCTGTTTTGTAAGAGCTAAGAGCATCTACCATTTCTAGTTAAATGAAAGCCACTTGGCTTGTTGGGTTAAAGAAATTTTGCAAAGGAGTCACTTGGCGACAAAAGTACAGGTGAATCACAACGAACATGTGGAATTTTAAAAAATACATCTATTTCTGCCAAGAGTAAAACCTTATTATCAGCTCTCCGAAATAAGAGCAGCTATGCACTGAGCCATCCTATCTCTCTTATTAATTTTTTGCACAGATTAAATAATTTTCACTTAATTTTGTCAGTTTTTATTTAGGAAAATTTATGACAAGTGCCTTAATTCAAAAATTACGTCAAATTATCACCGATTTAAATAGGAAAATTCGAAATTTATAATGAATTAGCTTGAAGCTATAATTAAGATTTTTTAATGATAATTTAATGATAGTTATTATATATAGCACCTCGTTTGTAGCCAAAACAGGATTTTGTGTATTGTACGAAGATTTAAGTATATTTTGGTTGCCATAATTCCTGAATCGCTGAAAATTCATTTTTATGTTAGTGACTGGCTGAATTATTTTACCTTTGTTCCTTAAAATCAGTACTTCTTAACCTAGCTTGCAGTCATCTTCATGTTTATTAAACGCTATTCAAGAACAGATCCCCGGCCTGCCAACCAGCAGCTTTTCATTTGCCAAGAACCTTGTTTGCAACATCTTGTATTTACAATATATAATCATATCTGGGCTTTATAGGACATAAAATTTTTAGGATTTTGTCGAAAAATTAGTAACATATGGACTTCATAAATAATGTAAATGTAGTAATACTTGTAATCTTTTTAAAAAGAACTAATTTTCTTTCTGAAGAACACCTTGCAAATAATTTTGTTATGGCAAGTTAAAAAATTTAGGAAAACATTCTACTTATTATGCCCAATGGAACCAGGCAACTCAATCACTAATACGCACTTTTAGAAGAGGAAATGAGAATGTAGAAAACAGATTAATAACTGCCATCTAAATCAACATTCAATATAAATATTTAGTATGACTTTAAAACCATTATTGTAGAACTCTTTTGGTACTTTAAAAATATTTTCTATCAGAAATTGATTAAAGTATACAATCGTAAGGGTGAAATTAATAAGAAAGTGAAAGTATAAAAAGCATCAAAATATCTCACCGCAGCGGTGACCTTACTCATGGGTGCTATTGCCATTTACTTCAATAACTCAAATGATTACCTTCTTATTTCTGGCATTTGATCGTACGAATAATGGTTTACGGTGGTCATTGGCTGTTTTAGATGTGTTATCCAAATTGGTCAATGATCGCGATTTTCTTTTTGAAATCATCTAAAAAATCTCCTCCTCACAAAAGAAGTTTTTCTTCTACTAAAATTCATTTATTTTCTGCGCATTAATATTATTGGAAGAGTTAGGGAGCCACTTGATGATGGAAATCATGTGGTTCGCCAGCACCACTCGGATTTTCGACAAATTGCTGCTGGCTTACTCGTGCCAAACTCCACCATCTGTGCTCCAAAATTGCAACAACAACCCATTGAGCCATTCATCAATACTATGGTAAAATTGATTAACTAATAACAGATAAAACAAGGACAAAGCTCATAAGTGAAATTGTTCTGTTAAAAGAATTGATAACGGATAATAGAATTTGTTGTTGAAAAAACACTAAAATGATTAGGCATTAAATAAAAAAAAAGAAACATTCAACTGGAAATATTAATTTAATGTTTTTTCAAAAAATTATGAAAGGTCAAAAGGTTAATTTAATGGAGTGATTAGGTACAATAAAATTTTTATCGATACGTCTTTGTTATAACTAAAGCAAACATTGAATTATTAAAAAAAAGTATCGAAGATTTTCTGTTTGCTTTCCGTATTTACGAAAAAAAACAATGGAAAGCAAAAATTTAAGCCTATGCATATTGAATATTATATTAATAAAAAAGGTAATATATGGTAATAATGATGAAGATTATAATAATAATGGTGATAATAAATGATAATAAATGATCGACAAAGAATTAATATAGGCAATAATTCAAAAAAATAAAATGTCTGCTATAAATAAATAAAGAAAAAAATGGGCCTTTAAAAATTTTCTAATAATAAATAAAATAATCGATTATTAGAAAACAGTAAATATAAAAAAATATTTATTTATAAAATCGACAATTCATTTAATTAAGCGGATGACATATTCACAAACAAACTAATTTCATTAGCAAACTAAACCAAAATTTCACTAAAAGATTTTTTTATAATTTTAGATTTAAAAAAAGACTTACTATTCATGGATGGCTGTATTTTCTAAAAATTTTTTACCCGAATTTTTTATTAATCAATTTTCCTATTGTAAAGAATCATTAGCGAAGAAGGTAGAGGATGGCCTTTAAACAACCATCCTGATTTTGGTGGATTTACGCTTGCAAGAATCATACGACTATACGATATTCCTCCTTTTGCAACATTTCATGCTAAATACTAAATATTGCACTGTCAGGTTATCTGGCATAACGATTATTTCATTATTATTATCATTATAGGAGAGTTAAAACAAACAATGTTATGTTATATGCTGCACGTTATGTCAATATTTTGTATGCTAAATTACGAAAATTTTGCCAGAGATGCGAGAGATTTGAAGGAAGAGAGTATAGGGGATCACAAGCACTACTCGGATTTTTTCAGTGATAAGCTAATTCTTAATCGGAGACAACTTTAGTTCGAACTTTAATACTCTAAACTATAACCTCAGCAGTAATCACTCGACTATTCTGCACCCATTGATTTTTAGCATTCCCATTTATTTTTATGTGGAATGAAATTAAATGACTCCATTTTGTATGTCAAAAAAAAAGAATTTATTTCAATTTTATTCATTTTTTAAATCAAGAAAAACAAAATATTCCAGGTAATTAAATATATAAAAAAGGCGAACAAAACAATCTTTTTATAATAAAAATTATAATATTTCTGTTTTCAACGAGAATTTTTAATTTTAATATTTTGTTTTCAAGGAGAATTTTTCTTATTTTTTCAAATTGATATAAAAATTTGAACCATTCAAAAGATGGAACTAAATAAATGAATAATTGTTTCAAAAAAAGACCGCATAAAAATAAGTACACAAGGTAAATGAAACTCAATGGCTTAACTTCATATATGAGGACAAAGACCAGAATTCAAGCAAAGTGGTGAATTGTAATTTTATTGGAAGACTGGAACCGAACTCATACTATTCATTCTCAACCAAAACAACCAAAATGTGATTCATTTCAATCATCATGCTCCTATTTTAAAATTAATTTTTTTTTTGAAAAGCCATCATGTTTTCATGAGCAATAATCAGCGGTTAATTCTACAAATATTAATAATAAAATAAAATACCTAATTCAAATAATATTAATAAAAATATTTATTTTAAACAATAAATTTATCAGAAAAAATTAATGGCCATTTGGAGAGTAAAAATTGTTTATAATAAAGAGGTAAATACATAAATAAGATAGAAAATGATTAGATTGATAATCTGTGATAAAATAAAAAAGACTGGCAGTGGATAAAAAGTAAGAAAAGAAGAAAAACTAGTAATAATAATTCATAAATATCACTAGAATGAAGCGAGAAATTTTTATATGAGAACAAGAAATACTTGAGCAAATAGAACGGAGATAACTTAGTTCAACTACAAATATGATAAATCAATTTTTTTGCAAAGATCACAGAATTTTAATCAAGTTAAAATTCATTAAAATTATTCCATTTTGTTGGTTCATCGTCCATATTAAATCTAAAATTATTCGGCTGTACTGAGATGATTATTGGCCTCGGCTGTACTGGAAGATGATGTGAAGCAGTACTGTTTAATCGTCTTGGATATGTTACTGATGGAGCATTTTCATTCTGTGTTGAAATTTGCAAACCACCGGAATAATAAGGTCGAGTTGGTGGTTGTAAACGTGGATTATAACTATGATAACCATACAGCTGAGGATCACCAGTAGAAGTTGATGATGATGATGGTATAAAACAAGGTGTGCCATAGTATTCTGAATTGTGAACATTTTGATGTGTAGAATAATTTGTATATATAGTAGGAAATGGACTCATATAATCTCGATCATTAGCAGATCGTTTAGTGGTTGAATGTTGCTGAATTGCACTAATCATTGGTAATCGCCTTTGACGTGTAGTTGGAAGTATTAGTTCATCATCATCACTAATTTGGTAATTCGTTAAAGGCTCTCCTTAAAAAAATACTGAAAAATTTGAAAGAAGCGATGATTCTTTTTCTTCATACTTTTAAAAATTTATCTCCCAACATCTGTATTTATTTACAATTATCGGTGAAATTTGCAAGATAAAAAGAATACCGAGACTTTCATATGGCCGATATCTTATAAATGGACGATGTCGCTTTGAATTTGAGAGATATCCATCTGTAAAAGGAAGACCTTGATCATCATACATTGATGAGCTTTGGAGAGCAATCCTTGCCGATGGAATTCTGCGCGGTGGTATTAATTCTTCTTGCCTGAAATTTAGAATGCGAAAGCTATAAAATCCATTTTTTACTATTCTCTTAGCAAGTGAAAAATTCTACAAGCGAAAATTGAATAATTTGAAGTCAGCAAGTGTCAAACAAAAAAAAATATATATATATATATACAAATAATATTAAAAATATGCCTATATAATCTCGCCCGCCGATGCAACATCTGATTTCGTAAATTTTGTGGTGGAGTTCGAGGTCGATCTATTCTTCGATCATCAATTGAGTGATCACTTCCTGAAAAGTTTCATTCCTAAAATATCCTGTTTTCTCGTAAATTCACCACGTTATTTAATCGCTCGAGAAAATAATTATTATGGTAATTACTCACGGTAATGACTGTGTCTACTGATAGGTGGCGACGGTGAGCGGTATGTATTTCGGTATGGTGGTGATGGTGTCCTTGAATGGTTGGGGGAAAGTAGTTGTTGAGTCTGAAAATTTGCTATATTCCAGTCCAAGAATTCGGTTATTCTAAATGAATATCGAAAATAATAAAATGTTAATTAGTCGAAGCACGTTAGAAATTGCAAAAACATTATATAAAGAAGAAATTGCACAGATAAATTAGTCTCATATTTTACAATCCTATCACCAAAGGTATTATCTTATTCCTCCTCTTTATTCCATTCTAATGAGATTGAATTTTGCGAAATTTTCTGTTCTGAAATGCAAGGGAGTTCATTTCACGATAGAAGTTCAGATAAGTCGTCAGTTTTTTCAGAATCACGGATTTTTTACGAATTATTTATTCCTGGTGAGAGTAAAACATCGGCGCTCCGAAAAATTAATAGCAAGCCACTGAGCCAACTTAACCCCATTTTGCAAAAAAATTGTATTTTTAATATATCTCATTTTTATACGATAAATTACAATTACGAAGGAAGCCTAATGAAATAAAATGTTTTCTCATGCAGACATGCTTCATTCCTAAAAATAGCAAAAAAAATTGCAAAATTAATTTTTTTCATAAAACAAAATAAGCACGATATACTTCATATCATATCATATCATACATATCATACGAGTTATTTTACCGCCTTCAAATAAATAATTTACAACAATTTCACATTTTACAACAGTTTTACAATTTTTAAATTACACTAATTACTAAAGCTAGCTAGCTATACGAAATTATAGAAGCTAAAGCTAGTTAACTATGTAATAGCGATATAAACTAATTTCTCATTCATCACAAAAATTACTTAGTTATTACCTCATCGAAAATATGATCGATATGACGAGTATAGGGATTCCAATAAATATTTCCATTTGTGTATTGCTACAATTAAATATTTCTCAAATATTTATATATGGAAATTTTTTTTTTCTTTTTCTTAGTGAAAAACGTGAATCATGAATTGTGATTAAAAGAAGTGTTGATGATATAAAGATGTTCATCTGAAAATTAAATGATCCTTTCTCTTTAATTGTTCCTTTAGATCACCGAAAAGATCCTGAAGAATTAAATAGTTGGGAATATAGAGTTTGTCCCAATCAGGCAACGATATACATATATATATATGAGAAGCTTGGAAATACCTAACTTATATAGCCAATGCAGCGAGCATAACGAGTAATGGTGATAATTGTTAGAAGAGAAAGAAATATATGAGCCCTCTTGAATAATTGAACTAAAATTGCCTCAAAATATGTATAGGAATAGGTATTTTTTAAAAAGGATGAATGAAAAGAAACATATGGTTTAATTAGATAATTGGTACCAGAAATCTTTTTGGGCTGTTTCAGTAGTTTCAGCTTTTTTTAGCTTTTAGTTTAACTTTTAAATTTAAAAGCAATGATGTGAAAATTTTGAACTGTGCTATCAAATCGTTTTTGTAATAAATAACTAAGCTTCTAAAATTCTGTTTCCATTAATCCGAATGTAGTGGTTTACCTTTTAAATATAATAAGAAAAATTCGTATTTTATTAAAAAATGAAAAAAAAACCATAGAAATATTTTATAATTTCCTAACGTTAAAAAACTAACTCAAAATTTTACATCATTTTTATGCGTCAAAACTCGTTTTATAATACTAATATACTAATCTGAGCATTGAAGTTAAATAAGCTATTAATACTATTACTATACTATTAATAGTTATCATTAACAAATATCCTAGCAGCAACAAATGGGAGGTGAAATTACAACTTAAAATGACAGCAGTCAAATGAGCTTTATATAGATTAATACAAATCTCTGAGTCACTTTTACAAATTTCGCCTTTTGAAAAAATTGTAAAAAATTGAAATAAAATTAATGGAAAGATTCAAGATTTGCTAAGATTCAAGACTATTTTTTAAATGCTATAGAAATGATAACATGAATACCTAAAAATTTTTACCTGTGCCGAAGAAATATTTGCTCCATGTGAATCGCGACCTCGTATCTTTGACAAAACTCCAGATAATCGTCGTGCAGTACTTGTGGATTTTCTTCAACAGAAAACTATTTAAATTTCAATTATAAAATAATTTTAAAATTTTTTTTGCAAATAATCGGTAATGCTTTGTAAAAAATAAAAAATTTAACAGAAAATTACTTAAAATTCAGCTAATATTTCCAAAAATTGTAATGAATATTGGTGAATATGGAAAATGCGCATCTCAGGACTTATTAAAATTGAAGCATTAGCTGAATTGAAATAAATGAAAGTTTCCGTCTTATTTGTTCCTATATCTTTCAGAGGAAATGCAAAAACTCTATAACTTGAGTTACATACACTAGTACAAGAGAATTGCGCTGTGCTCGATTTTGATTTGGAACAGGACTTTGTTCGTCATTATCAATACTATCAGTGCTTTTAGCTGCTTTTATAGTATCAACCAACGTTGAGAACAATGAATAAGGCCTCTGAAAATTTTGTCATATTATGGAAAATTTTTACAATTAATTTCGTAAATTCAACTGTGTGAATTGAATAAATTCCAATCAAAATGCGATTTAAAAATGTGAATGCGATTTTAAAATAACTTTCAATAAATAAAGAAAAATGATGGATATAATTCAAGAATAAAACTTTCCATGGAAATTATAAAAAAATAAGTATAATGATAAGAAAAAGATAGATAAAAAAATAATTCAAGAAATTTGAATTATTCTTTGCTACTATAAGTACGAAATATAAGTACAATTATAAAGGCAATCAAAAAAATTGTAAGGAAAAATTCAAAAAATTCAATAAAATAGAAATAAACCAAAAAACTTTTATAAGGCAAATGGGTAAATTATTAATTAGGTAAAAAATGATAATCGTTAGGCAAAAAACAAATTGAAGTGCAAGTTAGGGAATTAATTAAATCATTATTCATGCAACAGACGGGTAATTCTGTGAAATTTTGCGTAAAAAAATAGCTCAATCCTTAAGGGAACGATTCGTACATGCCGTGAGTATTTTTTAGGTAAAAATCTAAAGATATGAATCGTATATGAAACCTCATCCCCCTTATCCGTGCTAATTGAATCATCAAAAACACTTCGACGAGCTTTTAACAAAGCAGCGGCACGTTGCCGCCGTTTTATATCAAACTGAAATTTTTTTCCAAAATTGTATTCAAATTTTGACGTAAATCAAACCGTAATATTATGTTTAAAACCTGCTAATTATAAACGAAAAAGAAAAAAAAAACAAAGTTTAGCCAAATTTTCATACTTTTCCTAAACTCTTAGGATCTGTTGGCTTTCTGGACCAGGGATATTTTTTACAAGACAGATTTATTTTTGCCGGGAGCAGAATTGCTGTATCAGCATTCCGAACTTTCTATTTTATAGTTTTGCCTTCTTTTAGTGTTATTATGCAAAAAATAAGCCAACCTCAGCGCCTGATTTTTTTGCTCGGTAATTTTCTAGGATTAATAATCCAGCATATAGTTTACCAACAGTTAATCTTTGGAAACAAAGTTCTGCAATAAAAAAGTGGGATAGAATATAAAATTTATGTAATCTTCAATTAGACATCAATTTAACCTTTTTTCTTTTCAAAAATATATTCTCGTAAAATTTGAAAAAATTACCAGAATTCGGTGGGACGACTAGATCAATCATATTCTTTCTTGCTTTTAGCGGCCAAATCTTTCTCAAAGTCTGACGCAGTTCTTCATCCGCTTCGTCCATTTCTTCTACTATAAAGGCAAAAAACAAGGAATGAGAGATATTTGTAACTCCGCTAATTTGACCATTTTAAATATATTTTATTAAATTCTTATCAAATTTATTATGCCATTATCAATGATATTTAAAAAAGTAAATTATTTTATCTACTAACTGGATTTCATAAAGAAGGTTATCAAAAATATTGTCGACCTCGTTTAAGCATGTAAAACCCATACAATGGTCTTGTAAAATTGAAAAATCATTCTTGCCTGGTCGCATTTTTATACTTAGAGATTCACGGATCAAAGCAAATAAAGTTGTCGTGAAGTGCACTGTTCCATCTTCAGCTACAGGCATATTCATACGAATCAAATGTTTATATGCCAAGCGATATGGGCATTTTCTACCGAATCCAACTGGTGGAGCAATATTTCGTAACATTTCATACATATCAGTGTAGTGAATTCTTCCTCTAAACATTAATTTTTGTTTCTCATTAAAAATATAAGCCTAAATTTTAACTAGTTAGTATGTTAAAAGAAAACTAATTGTGAAGATTAGTTCTAAAGAAAATTAGATGATAGGTCTGGCTAATTTACTAAATTAACTAAGTCATAATAAAAAATAATGTAAAAAAATTATTTATAAAAAAGTGGCCAAATAAATATTAATACTAACGTGGCAGCAGGATCATAATCAGCCCAAACTCGGATGAATTCATCAAGGTGGTGTGGGCCAAGAATGGAACTATCGCGAGTTAAATAGTCAAAGTTATCCATGATAACAGCAACGAAAAGGTTCAACATCTAAAAGTATATTTTAAATAATCATAAAATTACCTAGAAATATTTAAAGTTGAAATCAGATGGCATTTTTCATGAATTTCTTACAGTATAGTAGAACCACAGCAGAAGCAGAGGAAGGAAAAAGATTATAAGCTTATGAAAGTAACAAAATTATTTGTCTTATAGAGAAGGTGAAGGAAAAGCATGAGGAAAAAAACTTCTCAGCGCTATGCATATAATTAATACTATCAAAATTTACATATCAGCTAAAAATGGAAAAAATAAAATGAAGTCAGCTAACCAAAAACGAGGAAAGAAAAACAAATGAAGTGAAATAGGCATAAGACATCTGCGTTCCACAGGTTGGACCTTTTGTTAAATTCATATCAAATGTATTGGGCTTTGCACAGTATTTGCCGGCTGTACATGCCATCATTATATCTTGCCATGCTTCACCTGTCGCACACCTAGAATTTTGTTTTATTACAACCTTAATTTTTTGTGAAGTTTGAGATCTAAGAATAGGCGAAAGCTTGAAGTTTATTATATGAGCTTATCGGGATTAAAAATTACCTAAACAATAGGATAAGTGAATTTACAAAAGACTGAAAGTTGTTATGACGATTGATTTCCGTGCTCGCATCCAACCAAATATTTCCAAATACCTGGAAAATAAGAATCTATCCTATGAACATGGAAATATGTAGCTAAATATGAATCGGAAAGCCGATTTCTAAAAGTTCTTTCTTCCATTGGTGAAAAGAAATTGGAGGCATAGAGTGGCACAAATTAGAAAAAGAAATGAGGAAGCTATCCGATTATTAATAATATAATCACATTAATATTATAATATTTATAATATTTCCTGTAGCATTCGCAAGCTATAAATTGCTAAAATTTACGCTACTTGTGGTGCCGTTCTATAACAAATACAATTTGTAATTCAGCTTGGTTCATACAAGTTCATACCTGCATTCCCACAATTGCGTAGATGAAAAAAAGCATCCCAATCAATAAGCAAACATATGGTAAGGCCTGAAATTCAACATATCCATATGCACTAACAACTTTTTTGCCTTTTCTGCTAGATTTTTAAAAAAGTGAATTCCGTTCGAAAAAAGATTCTTCGACATCAAACGATCAAAAAAAGTATTTGTACTTTAAATGACTGTACGAATGTCCATAATAAAATTCGAATCGTATATCCTTGTTGAAGCAAGCGAATTAAACGAGCAGCACGAAAAAGACGTAAAAACCCAAGTGACACAAAATGGCCGCCAAATTCTGTGACTAATGCATCTGTTATGGAACCAATTACTGTGATGAAATCAAATCGATTCCATCCGTCACGGAAATAATTCTGAAATTATTAATTATTGCAAGGTTTACTTTTCCATACATAATCGGATCCAATTTTCAGACGGATTTTTTGAAATTTAAGGATTTGCATTTAGCATACAATCAAAGGTAGAACGGCTCAGTGGGTTATTGCTCTTCGTATCGAAGAGCGAAAATGCTTGGGTCGTGTTTCCAGCAAGATGAAGTCTGCTTTTTAAAGATCGAGTAATTCAATTACATTTTTATTGCTGAGTGACTCTCAAGCAAATTTATCTGGACCGACTGTCGGTTAATCAAAAATGATGAGCGCTTTTAAAAAAAAGGTAAATCAACAAAACAAGGAGCGTAATAAATTACTTCGACGCATATTTGCACATTCGATTCTATTCGAATGAAAGAAGTGAACCTATTTTTATCTCGAAATTCGAATAATTCAATATAAAAAGAGTGTTTTAAGAAAATTTTAATAGAAAATTCATACCCGAACACCAAAAGCAAGTATTTTGAGTATGGCTTCGACAGTGAAAACAGCTGTTAAAGCAGTGTTAAAAAAGCGAAGTATTTTTTCATAGAACTCAGAATTGCCATGAAACTGAAATTTTAAGATTTTATTCACATTTATTCACTTATTCATATTTCTAAGAAAATCGTTGAAATAGAAAAAATGCGATAAAAATACACAATTTATTAAGATTAATAAGCTAAATGAGCTAAAGGGTGAATAAAATTGCGTTAGTTTAGTGAGTCGCTTTTCACTTCGAAGTAGCTTTGGAGCATTAGAACTGTGACTCTACTCCCTTTTAAAAATCCAAATGCTGACAGTCCATTTTTCTATCACTACTTGACTTCTTCGTAAAATTTGCTGGGCCCGACGAGCCAGTGGGGTGAACCAGAAATAATAATGAAAAAATGAAAGCTTTAAGACTGAAAAACAAACTTTCATCATAAGAATAATAGTATTACAACAAATCATGGCCATAATAAAATATTCAAATGGAGTTGATGTAACTAATCGCCATATTCGATATTTCATTGAGCTTTTATCTTCGGGCATAAAAAGTGAACGTGGACGTGCATTTAACGCGAAATCGATACACTGCTTCTGGAAATAATACAATAATTTTATCATTTTTATCGAATAATTCGAAAAAAATAAAATGAAATTTTCTCCCATTCTGATTATCGTATATTATCAATTATAATTATCAATAAGTTATTCATATAACAAAGAATACAAAGAAAGTAGAGTGGAACAAACCTGGTTCTTATCTAAATCCCCTTCAGATAATTCTGCTTCACCCTGTTCTTGAAATGTGATTATAATCAACGCAACAAAAATATTTACAAAAAAGAATGGGAAGACGATGAAAAACATCACATAGAATAATGACACCTATAAAAAATTCAAATTAATTAGGATCATCCTAAAAAAAACCTTTTTTTCTTGCACAGTTTTAATCTACTGTTATCACTTTATCAATGAGCTTATTAGTTTTAGATATTTTCATTTGATACGAAATGCACAACCACCATTTCTATTTAAACTTATCCCACAAACTCTTGGTAAAGTAAGGAAAATTTGAAAAAAAGAATCATTTAAAATGAAATATAAGTGGATTTTCGACTCAGATTTCTTAAAGGTAGCTGTTTCATTTATGCAAGGAGCGCGATACGATTATGAAGGTAATTCAAATCCGAATCCATAAATCCGAAAATAGATTTATACCTCTACGCGAAAAAAAGGTGATGGTCCTCGATCTTCCTCTGTTGTATCCATAGAATTTTGTCGTATTCCTGGCCAACCTTCGCCTGTTGTAACAACAAATAATGTTAACATCGCATTAATGGTATTATCATAATTAAAAGGCCGTAGACGCCATTCACGAGTCTCCACTCTAGGCACTTCATCCTGAAATTATTTAGCATTCCTTCTAGCTTTCTAATTATTAATTAATTCTACTCCAAAAGAACAAAGCAACTAAAAGATACATGGAAGCAAAAATGTCATGTCGATGAGTATCCTAATAGAATATTTATTTCAAATAATTTTATGATTAGACATAAATCAAACAATTGGATCGGACTGGCAACCCATACCACTAACCCAGTATTTTCATGATAAAACCATATGTATAAACCATAAAGATTTATCATTTATCCGTAAAATGAGTAATAATTCAAAGTAATAAATATTTTGCTCAATGGGAAAAAAGATTTTGTTTATAATCAAGCCATGATTTTTTTATTTAAATAGAATTATTTCTGATTATCTGATTATCATGATAGGCAAGCCATTTATAGCTAAAGCAATTTGTTCAATTGCCTCTTGATAAATATCTAAATCTGAAAATGAAATAGAGTGTTGTTGGAAATGAAATTATAACCCTATCCCCTATAACTCTATGAAATTATGAGTGAATCTGTGTTGTAAAGGCCTCATCCTCAAAAACAATGAGGAGACATGATAACCAAATGGTTAGCTCACATTATCGCATTGAGAAGCTAGAGTTCGACTCCAACAGATAATTTTGCCACTCATCTATACCCCTGTTGCCAATTGACTTGTTAGGAAAAATTTTGAACCACATTGATATCTAACCAGCGCTAATCACTTCTTATCAAAAAAAAAAGTTAAGAAGCTTTATTTAATATTCTGTTATCGAGAAAATAAAAATTGATGGATATGAAACTGCTCTTGTCTTATATCCAAAGAATCATTTCTTCCAAATGTTCCTCGATGATTTACATGAAATGAAATGAAATAAAAGGAGATCTATTTTCACAAATATATTGTAGTATCGCTAATATTATTAATTTCAGATAGGAGTGGGCAAAGGCCAATATACATGTATCTATACATATAGTCTAAACTGCCTTGAGCCAAGACGAAGTAAGATGATCGTATTCTTCGAATGCTACACTAATTTAACAAATCAAAACGGTTCATGCCTCTCTTGATAACTTTTTATTAGATGTATTTTGTTATTTTTATCAATTTTTTTGCTCCATGTTTAAGATAAAAAAGTTACTTTAAGAGATCTTCAAAATCTTTTCGACTTTTCAAATTAAAAATTAAAAAGGTAAAATTTTTTTCTTATTGAATTTACCACAGACTTTTTTGTTCCTTCAAAATTACTCGAGTAACGAAATTCAATTAGGAAAATTATAATCTCATTTTTGCAAAAAAAACAAAATTGCAAAAAGAAACAAAAAATTTAGTAGTTATTTTTGGACAGGTTTATTCCTGCTGGGAGTAGAATTTAAGTGTATTGAATTCTTATCTTCTCCTACAAATAAAGAGTAAAAGAGTGAATTTATTTATAAATAAATAAGTCGAAACTTAAAAATACCTGATTTTCGTAAATGAAATATTGTCCATGACATTCATGAGCATAAATTTTTGTTTTATCAGTACAAAAGAAAAATTTCCCTTTAAATAATTGTACGGCTATCACTCCAAAGATAAATTGAAATAAAAAATAAACAATTAATATATTAAAAACATTCTTCAATGAATTCACAACACAATCAAAAACTGCCTAAAAAAATTATAATTTTTTTCAGTATTTTTGTTTTATTATTGTTTGATTTTATCTTTATGAATTTTTTATTTTTTCGATGAAATTTTAATAATTAATGAATTAATAAAATAGAAAAAACTATAGAAATGGGAAAATGGGATTAAAAAATATTCTAAAAAAATGTTTATAGAATCTATTATATGTTTTAGTTTTAATCTTCTAAAATATGGTTCTGTTATTTTTGTAAGTACCATAGTACCGTTAATCATGATATAAACTAAACTGAAATCACCATTTGAAAAAAAAATTACTTTCAATTTTGGAATCCGTTTAATTGTTTTCAATGGGCGCAAAACACGTAGAACTCGAAGCGACTTGATTGTATTCAAATTTTTACCTGCTGCACCGTCTGTTCCACTAAAAACTTTTGTTTAATCTTAATAAATTTGAGTTGAAAATTTATTTTATATCTATAAATTTCTAAAAAATTTCTCTATGCATGATACTATGAGAAGATTAAAGAAACTCTGATGTTCTGATAATTTACAGGATAGATCCAGGTGGATATGTAGCCGACTCATCGCTAAGCAAATGATCAAAGCTTAGAATTCTATCGGAGAACTAAAGCTTCCCTTTTTATTAAAACTTTTACATATAGGTGGTGCCCTCTGCGATGCGGTGGATCAACAGAATGCATGGAAAACTAAAGCCGGCCCTCAATGGAAGCGAACTGCAAACAGTGCCGTATATCACACGTGAATTTGTGAGTAGTAAAATTAAAACTGAAAAAACTGAGAAATAGCTTTACGCGAATGCAAATGCAACAAGAGCGCAGAATACAACAATACCATCAAGTAAATTCCAAAAATCACGACAATACGATCCTGGATGAAGAAGAACACCTTGGTCTATTAGCTGTAAGCAACGAAAACTTATTATGCATTATGCAACTTAATACTAAAAACTGTTGGAAAGAGCCTTTGGAAATTTACAAGCTAGAAATATCGTATTAACAATTTCTAAAAATAAACCTTTAAGCACATTTCAAATGCAAAAACGCCAGTGAAACAATAATCCATATATTGAAGAACACTATTTCTTGGATTTTCATCATCAACTGGATCTTCTGCGGATAAAGCTATACTCGAGAAGCAAATAACACTCATCACGAACATTTCGAAATACTTTGTACTTACTACGGAATGGACGAATATTCGAAATCTAAATAAAAGTATTTATATGAAAAAGTATTTTCAATGAGATATTTCAAATTGGTTCATGGAGAAACCTTGGTTATTTTTGATCATTTAAACTTACGGGTTAGTAGGGGAAAATAGAAACATAGAAGAGAATGGTACCATCGGTTTTGGACCACCAAATGGACTCTCTTCTTCTTCATATTCTTCTAAAAATATGCCAGATGATTTTCAATAAATAATAAGAATAATAAGAAACTGATGAAATAAAATCAAAATTTTTAATTGTTCTTTCTGAAAAAGTACCATCCAAATCATCTTTCATATTGCCACCAGCTTTAGCATCAATTTCAATTGCACAATGATCGCTATCCTAAAATTTTGCATGAATGTTGGTAAACTGCAGGCAAAATTTATTACTATATAAGAACCATCAGCAATTAGGTTGCCTAATCCATAGCGAAAATTATCTTCTTGATAAAGAAATAATAAGAGAAAAAGACGAAAGAAGAGAAAATATATGCATGACATAAGTTCATCTGTGAATCAGATAACCGGATATTAAAACCGAATGTAATGACCTGTTCATCATAATCCTCTGAATCGTCGCAAATTTCGTTTGCCCTTTCGTCTGCTTCTTCGGCTGCAGTTAATTCTTGAGCATTAGCCAAATTATCAACAGCAATAGCCAAGAATACATTAAGTAATGTATCTGAAAAAAACAAGTGATTTTCATTCAAATGTGGCGAAGAATCAAGAAAAGATTTAAAAACACTTACAGTTGCCAAAAAGCACGAGAACAATAAAATATATGCAATAAATCATTCCACCACCATATACTCCACCTTGTGATTCAATTGCTAAATACATTACCTCATTCCAATCTTCACCAGTTAAAATCTAAAATCATTTCATTACTTTCATCATCAATTTATTCAATTCAGCTCTTTCCAACTGCTTCCCAAGTTAGTTCCTCACAAAGTTGTTTCTAGTGCGACTTTTAGAGTGAGTTTTCTGGCGAAAATTTGACTGACACGATAAGTCGATACAAAAATTTTTTGTCAAGCAATCCATTTTTTGAAAACCATCGTGCAATAGCAATTTGTCATTACCAAAAATATATTTTTTCATATGCTATTCAGCGCATGATATTTAATTATTTAATTAATATTTAATTAATATTATAATACTTAATTTATAATCAAGAGCTCTTAATTAAATTGGATATTATTTTTAATATTATTCATAGAAAAAAATTCGACAACTGCTGATATTGTTAAAAAATAAAAGCCTAAATGCGTTTTAATTAGCAATTAAAGCAAACAATTAATTTGGTTGTTAAATTTTTATTATTTAAAATTAAAATATTAAAATATGATTAAATTACTATTAAATATTATTAAATAAATTTAAATAAATAATAAATATTAATAAATATTTAAATAATAAATATTAATAATAAATAATATTAAATAAATAAAATTATTAAAATATTCAGAACAAAATATTAAATTATGGCTTAACTATTCATTCACATTAATGCTATTTATTATTTCATTAGCATTAAAAGCATCTATTAAATAATCTATCAAATAAAGTCTTGAAAAAAAGAAACCTGAAAAACAGTGATTAACGCGACTGGGAATGTGTCAAAATGAGTATATGGATGCATGTTTGGAAAGTTAAACCTGAAAATTGCTAATTTTAATCCGATTTCATGTATAATATAATAATAATAATTAACAATAATAATAAGAATAATTTTTTATAAATGATTAATCTATTAAAATAAAATAAATGATAAAAATGGAAATAAACTTGGTACAAATAGCAAAATTATTACTTTCCACCGAATAATTGCATTCCCAATAAGGCAAAAATGAGAATAAATAAGAAAAGTAAGAATAATAGTGATAATATAGAGCGCATGGAATTCATCAGTGATCGAACAAGATTTCTTAAAGAGACCCAATATCTGAAAATAATTTAAATAATTTTAATACTTCACAAATAAGAAAAATTTCATTCTAAATGCGAATAAATAACAAATAAAGCAAGTTTTCACTTCATATATAAGAGAGCAATCAAAAAAATAAATTTTTTCTTTTTCGTTAAATAGTCGGGAACCCCAATTTTGATTTGATTTGACTAGCATAGTTGATTAGAATTAGTAGAATTATTAATTATTAGAATTAGAAATTTCTGCTAGGAAGTCAATTTAAATTATTTTAAAAGTATAGGTGAATCGTCAATGCCATTCGCTTTCATCTTCATTATTGCAATCAATATTTGCAAATATCCATCAATGTTATCATTTGTAGATTTAAAAAATTTGTAAATTCAAATAAATTTACAAATTTTTTAAAATCATTTTAAGGAATTACTCGTACAGCGAACACGTATTTGCTTAATATGAATTTAAATGAAATAAATCACAATGAAATATATATATGTATACAATAAATATTCAAGTTAGTTTACCGCTGCTAGCATCTTTCTCTAAAAGGCTCTCACCAGCCCTGGTCAAGCTGGCTCCACTGGCTACAAGGACGAGGCATTTCCATGCTTCCAAACATCTGTCCTTGTTCTTGTTTCATTACCTCATTATATGCAAAAATTTTCGATAAAAAAAATTTTCTTGAGGATTCAAAATTCTCGAAAATTGTTTCTTTGATATTTAATTTTTTAACATTATAATACAATGAAAATGAAACGAACGATGTAAGTTTAAATATGCGTAAAAGTCGTAAAGCTCGCAATACTGAAATGCCAAATGATCCTCCTTTTAGCTCAGCCCAAATTACTTCGAAAGCACTTCCAACAATTACAATACAATCAAAGCGATTGAATTTTGATGCGAAATACATACGATGACCCATAGCAAAAAGTTTTAAAAGCATTTCGCAGACAAAAATACCCAAAAATACGAATTCGGCGTATTCTACAACTTATTTTCGTAATCATTATTATAAAATTTGTCAGTTATCATGGATTATTTGACAACTGATAACAAATGAGATATAACAAATAGTTTTATAGTTTTCTTCATCATTTTACTTCGTTGACAAATTTTTTTTAGCCAAAAAGAAAAATTTGCAGAAAATATTGAAAAAAAGTTTGAATAAAATATTTAAATTATTAAATTATTAAAATAGAAATTTATGAAATCTTTTCTGAATATTTTCTGAATATTAAAATTTAAAACGAGTAATAAAAATTTATTAAAGATTAAATTAAATTAAAAGTATACTTAAAAATTCAGTGAACCATTCAGGCTGGCCATAATGTTCAGATGCAACGCAAGCTGTATTAAGAAAAACAAGTGTTATAACCATCCAATAAAAGATTTGACTTTTAACAACAACACGAGTCTTTACTCTATAAATTTAGATTTTAGATTGATAAAGCTGACAAAATTAAGTAAGTCAACAAAAAAGCAAAAAAGTGAAAATTTACCTTAATTTCCTAATATGTCTACATAAAGTTTCATAGAATCCTCTCTTTGTTTTTTTGCCTGAAATTTCTACATTTCATTTGAGATTTTTTTATGTGAAATATAACAATAATATTATTATAAATCAAATATTTTTTAAAAAACAATTGCGCATGAAAATCATGAAGATCATAATAGATAAACTAAAATACATGTCGAAATGTGTAGTATATAAGCAATTATCGCTTTACTCGCCTTATCATTTTATCACCTCTTATCTTTACCTGCCTTATAACGTATAATATAAAGAAGAGTGTCAAAATGCATATAAAAAATTAAATGTGAAGTTTTAGAATTAAAAGAAGACAGATTAATAATAAAGCATTAGATTCAAAGAATACTAAAATTTCTGACTTATTAATTATTAATATTAATAAAATATTAAAAATATTAATAAAACACTAATAAAAAAATACTAATTTTGGTGTTAAAGAAAAAACCATTTTTGTTTTCAAATGACATTTAAAAATAAAAAACAAATAAATATCAAATAAACTCAAGTAATTTTACAATTTAAAACATTTAACATTTAACATTTTTAATAAAAATATTATTGAAAATAAATCTGACCATTGCTATCCTCTTCATCGATATATTCTTCCTCATCATCTTCTTCTTCTTCATCAATATCTTCTTCAGTTTCAGTACTTTGCTGCTTTCCTGCTGCTTTTAACTTTTTTGTTGCTGCTCGACGTCGTGCTAAAACAAAAAATTTTTTCTCAATCCAGTAGGCATACAACCTTGTTCTTCAATGAAAAATTATTTAATCAATCAAGAAATCTAAACATAAGGTCATAAAGGAGCAAAATGGTTTATGGCCATTTCATGTCTTAGATGCTAGAGACAGCACGAGTACTTGTCTTGTAAAAATCTATGTGATTTGGGCGATCCGTCAACACTTTCATCACCAAATGATAACCTGCCAAAATTCATAGGGTCCAATAAATTAATATGGTCCAATATGCGGATTTAATCATAAATGGTCAACGTTCTTGAAAAAAAAATGAATACAACCTTCCATAATTGCAGCTTTTTCTTCTTCTGTCGTTCGATCTTCTTTTAAAATAACTTCTTCAGCAGTAAGAATCCATTCCAAATATCCATTTAATTCTCGTTCAATTTGTTGCTGACGTCGTAATTTTAAAAATTCACGTCGATTTTCGACGCGTTCACGTTCTTTCGCAAATTCGCTAAATGCAAATTCTATTGAATATGGTAGAAGATATTTATTCACATTATAAAATTTATATAAAAAATTAATAGAAAAAATACCCATACCCAGAAAGAACACCAAGTACGAGATTCAGCATAAAAAATGATCCAAGAACAATTAAAGGTATAAAATATGCCCAGTTATATGTACTACCAAGTGAATCATTTGTCTGAAAAATTACTTTCGTTAATAAATTATTTTTTTTACGAATTTATTGAACAAAATTTTCAATTTTTCAAATAATTTGTGATAATTTTTAATAATTTTTTAAAAATAATTTATAATTTGATTTTTATTTTTTAATGATTCTTTAGTTTATTATTTTCTTTTTAGTATATTATTTTATAGTATATTATTTTAAATAATTTTCTTTTAAACAATAAAACGTTTTACAAATTTATTTATTTGTCTTCCATTTAATCTAATTATATTTAAATTTATTAAAAATTTTTGCTTATTTTTATTTTGAAAACATACATAATACATGACAGTCGTCCATCCTTCCATAGTAATACATTGAAATACAGTGATCATAGCAAATGCAATATTATCAAATGATGTGATGCCATAATTGGGTCCGATCCATTGGCTAAGGCAAACAGTACCCTCTATTTCACAGTTATATGCTCCGGTAGCTGTTGATTTATTTGAGCTAAATAAATTATTATAACTTGCTGCAAGAGGAATAAAATAGCTCAATGGGTTCGATTTTGGGTTCCACTCAATGCAAATGAATGTATCTTTCACAAGTGGCACGGTGATTCAATTGTAATTTCACAGCCAAATGATTTTCTGGTAAAAGTTATCGAATCATTTGTTTTCTAATTTAAAATGAATGAAACCAGAAAATTTTTTGGAGAAACTTTTATAAAAAAAACCACCAAGGAAATGTTCGATCGCCAACATTTTCGATTTCACCACGTTCATTATAGCAAGCTGAATGAAATATTCCAGAATAAAATTCGAGGCCAATAATGGCAAATATTACAATAGCGAATAAAACGAGCAATCCTATTTGTAGCAATGGAGCCATAGCACATAATATGGACTTTAAGACAACTTGTAAACCTTAAAAAAATTTGGTTTACTCGCAAAATTATTAAAATATAAATAATTTGCAATGCTGAATTTAAACCCATATTTAGTAAAATTAACTATAAAAAAGTGATATCCATAATTTTTAACCGATTTTTTTATGCAAAATTTCGCAAAATGAAAAATTTTGCAAGTAAAAATGCTGATTATGAGCGAAAATGGTGTAATCACTATTATGATTCCATTTTTTGAAGGATTAGATTTTTACTGGTATATTTTTTAGGATATTAGAATTTGTCGTTCTCATGAAAAATTTCAAAAAATAAGAAACTTACTCGGAATGCCAGAAACAAGTTTTAAAGGCCTCAAAACACGAACAGCTCGAAGTGTTCGGAGGTCAATTGTTCCACCACCCTCATTACTTGCTGGTGTAAATGGCATCATCGTCACCGCTCTGAATATTTGATTTCATCAATCATCAATTATATCATCAATTAAATAGCAAATTTTCAATTAAAAGAAGGTTAATTAAAATTAATGAACCATGTAATATAGCTGGATAGTCATTTCATTTACGTTTATAAAAATAAATATTGATATAATAAAAAATTAACCCAGAAACAACAACAATGAAATCCATAATATTCCAACCGGAACGTAAATAGGACCCTTTATGCAAAATAAAACCAAAAGCTATAATTTTTAACAAACATTCCAAGCAAAATATTCCCATGAAGTAGGGTTCTGTGCGTTCCTGTAATAAAACAATAAATAAATTTCAATTATCTGAAAAAATTTAAGTCAAAATTATCAAAAAAATTCAAGTAAAATAAGAAATCTTTTGAATTAAATTATAATAAAAATAAGTATTAATAGAAGAGCTCAGTGGGTTATTCTCTTTTAGAAGTACCGATGATATGATTCTACTCCCATTTCAAACAAATCTGCCCTTACACAACCCAGGCGGTAATAATCGATCCGATGACCTTACTTCTATCATTCTGGCAAAACTTTATCTGGTATAATAAGCCAGCGCACCAAGCCTAGTCAGAGATGATGTGCATTTTTAGAAAAAATATTAATAAATATTAAAAATATATCAACTAAATATAGATTTGAATTAAATTTACAAATATTATTTTTCATTCGATTTGTTTTTTAATTTATTTTTTTGCTTAATATTTATAATTCATAAATAAATAAATAAATATTATTTAGCAAGATTTAGATTTATAAAAATTTAAACAAAACAACAAATCAACATCAAATATTAAATTATATAAATTAACAATATCTGCTGGTGTGAAATCGCAATTATCTGAGAATTCTTCTCACTTAATCAGTTTCAGTTTCCATAATCGGTTTCTGTAGTTAATTTTGGATGAATACCAAAGAGAATTTTAAAAACATTTACGATAGAAATTCGAATATATCGTATGTAATATATAAAAAACAAATATATTAAATAAATTTATTTGATATATTTAATGTAAATATATTAAATAAATGAAATATATATTATTAAATATACATTATATTATACATTATTATATTATATGTTATTATATTATATATTATTATATTATATGTTATTATATTATACATTATTATATTACATATTATTATATTATATATTATTATATTATATTATATATATATACTTATGAAAACACGTTGGATCGAAGGGCACAATGCTTATTCTCTTAACTCAGAGCGTTGATACTGGGTTCAACTCGATATAAAAAGTAAACATGAAAATTCAAAATAATTCTGAAATTTTTTTTCCATCGATCCTCATCAATAATGATTTTTTAAAATGTCAATTAAGTCTCAAACGATTTTAAAAAAATTAAAATCGTTCCATTCATATTATTCAGTTTCGGTGCGATGAAATTGGATTTTCGATTTACTATGGTTTGAAAAAAAAGGAAAACATTTCATTTTTAACATTCTCAATGAGGCTATTACAAATTAAACATGAAAAGCTTAAATAATCAGACACCATGAAGAATGATTATGGTATCGAACGCTTACACCGGCTTACACGACTGTTTTATTCATCTGATGATATTTTTTAATTACTTCTGATTAGGTTTCTATTGATAGCTATTAGGATTGAATCTGTTCACCAGAGAATTATTTAAGAACAGAAATAGATTCGCGACACCATCAGCATTTGCCTTTCGTATTAAGATGGAGGGACCAAATCGCAGCATTTGATGGACTAAACCATATACACCTCAGTTATTCTGGTACATTGCTCAAACCTTATTTCCTCTTATTTGTTTTTCTTATTTTCCTTCATTTCATAGTCTTTTATTTATCAATCGGTTTCAAAGGATCGGTTTAAAAAAAATTTATAAGCACTTGCATATCAATCAATAAAATAAACTAATAAGATGATTTTGAATAATGAGACAAAATGATAACGAATGCACATGGGAATAAAATTTTTTAGTTGGCTTAATTGATTTTATACAATGAGGTAAAATGAATGGCTTAGCAAGTTGTTGTTCTCATTTTTGTACATCGACTAATAAAAATATACATATAAAATATAGAATTTTTCTTTTCTTTTTTGACAGCTTTCACCATTACTGGTTAGGCTGGCTGCAAGGGCAACACAATTCCAAGCTGCACGATCCGATGCCATCGTTGGTAACAATAGAAGCCATTCCATCGTCTAAGTCCATATATTATTGCTGGTCTACCCATGCGTTCAAAATCTTTCGTGACCGTGTCAGCCAGGTCTTAATTGGCCCACCTCGATTTTGACAGCCATCAGAGAGCTTATCAAGTAACGAAATAAGTATCAACTCTTGCGATTGACGACAAAAAACGTATCCTAAGCAGCAAAGGAGACGCTCTGTGATGGTATTGCTAATGCAAGCGGTATTTGAACGAAGCGAATGCAATCATGTGAGATTTTATTCACTCGGCGAACACGAATGGTCAAAGGAGCAGATAATCTCTTAATACCCTCCATTCTCACTGGCCTTGCCATATAGCCAGAAGAATATAGAAATATAGAATTTAATAACTACAATGAATAATAAATACGATAAATAATAAGTAATATAATAATTAAATATGTTTGTTATAAAAAAAGGAACTAACAAGCATTTCGCTGAGTGGTTTTTTATCGTTTTTAGGCAAATGTTGTTCGAGTGCAAGTACTACACAATTGCCAATAATGGTAAGCAATATAAAATATTCAAATGGTCCCCATTCTATAATTGCTCTTGCATTTCGTCGTACAATATTATTTTCACTAAATATGAATAAAGATGATGGCCCCTGCAAAAGTCATTGAAAGAATTTCTTTAAATCTCTTTCATTAAAAGAAATATTTCAATATTAATTATTATTTAATATTAATTATTAATTATTATTTAATATTCATTCATTTTTTTTTTAAATTTTATGAAATTTGTCTAAAGTAGTTTTTGTCAAAATTTATTGTCAATATGTTTTACCAATAAAATCGTCAAATCGTCAAAATAATGTTATTAAAGAATGAAAAATAGAAATAGAATAGAAATAAAAATAGAAAAATGCATATAAAAACAAAATTTTTTGGTTGGCTTCATTAAATATTAGAATAAGATTCCCTTCCGCCCCTGTTCTTCGCCAGGTGGCCATATGGACATAGAAAAGACTTGATGTCATGAATCCCGACATCGCCTCCCTCCAAAAAAAAGATGCGATAGCAACCAAAATATAGTTTAATTTTGTTTTATTCAAAATTTCTTTCAAGATAATTGAAAAAGCAATTAACAACAAAAATTTTTGAAAAAAAACTGATTTAAATAATCGCTTTCATTTAAATATTTAATTACTTTATTTAATTGTTCGTCCTTTTTCCGATTAAAAAAACCAATTCTATAAATAGAAAGCTTTAAAAAGATTATGAAATTGGTAATTTTCATAAATTTTCTGGTTTTTTTATATGCATAAATATTTTAATAAAAATTCGTCTCACTAATTAAATTTCTCTAAAAACTCTTCTTATCTTCTGTAGATGTACATTCATCAAAAATTAAATACTTTTAAAATAAAACAAAACAAATGAAAATTGATAAAAAATGATAAGAAATGACAAATAAAATTTATTTAATCAAAAAACATAATAAAAAATTAATTTAATTAATAAATTTAAAATACTAAAACTTTGTTTGGATAAAATTTAAAGCAGAAATAAAATTTTAGAAAAAACAAAATATTTTTTTTTTAATTAAATGAATAAAACGATGAAAACTGATTCAAAAACTAAAAATAGAAAATTTCAAATTTATTTGTTAATTTGTTATTTGCTAAAGTAAAAATAATAGAAAAATAAATGTGGAATAAAAACTAATTCATTAGTTTTAAATTATTTTTTATATTTTTTCAAATTTATTTTTTTATTTAAATATTTTATTAAATAAAGAGAGGATTTATTTATTTTAATTTCATAGTTTCATTAAATTTTAAAAGAAAATATAAAATAATTAAATAAGGCAATGGCGGTGAAGATTTGAATATTGGCAATATTTTCGCAAAAGAAAATAAATGATTTGAGTTGACATTGCCATGTTATTCATTAATAAGATTTAAGTATTGCCAACCGAATAAGCAATATGGCATACTAAATTGTTCAAAAGGTTAAAGTTGAAGTCCACGAACTGTATAATCTGATATATTGAAAAAATGCTTACGGAAAGTGCTTATGCTATTCTGAAATTATATATATATAATTGTGTGAAAAAACTCTCCTTATCTTCTGTAAATTTACATTCATCAACCTCAAATTCTCTATCAGAGCGAGTCTGAGGCTCTATTGTGCAAGCTCTATACAGTATTGTTGGTACTGTTTTTATTAGGGCGCTTTCTGGATAGAGATCTCTGGTGTTGTTCCTGGAACCAGTTGTCTAGTTCAGGAATCACACCTTTTGGTATATAACTTTCATATATAACTTTTGGTAAATATTTTCTTCCTGATTTTTATGCCAGTTTTGCTATGCTGAATTAATATTCCTGCAGATAATACCAGTTATTTGGTTATGTTTTTTATGGACCTTAATAGGATGGCAAGCAACAAAGATTCAATTGCTTCGTAGCAATACTACGAAAGATAGATCGCTAGTGCTGTTTCCGCCTGCATCTTCTATTTTGTCACTATGTGTAGGGCAGATTATGAGGCTTTTCTGCACCCTAAAATCCTATCTTATGTTGTAGATCCTTGCTTTGATAGATCTGGTGCTTAACAATTGCTCTTGTGCTGTAATCGATGCTTCAATGGTGTCTTTTAGTGCTTCCCAAACATTGTCGGATTTACTTCGCAATCTTAGCTGTCATTCAATGGTACATATCATGGAGTGGAGATATATATAATTTATATATATAATTTTATGAACAGTGATATTGTTTAGTACTTTAGTGCAATTACTAATCTAAAGGAAATCAATTTTTCGAGTTCACAAACTTTATTCTTTCACTTTATTGTCTAATGAATAATAAATAAATAAAAAGTAAATCCCACAAAATAACTGAAAAAATTTCGAAAAAAGTATATACATTCATTTTTGACTTTTTTTAAATCAAATCTTAAAAATAAAAATAACAAATTCACTTAAGCAATATATTATCATACCATTTTAGGCATAACACGTTGTGGCTTTTTTATAGCCTTAAATTGATTTGTATGGAACTTAGTAGGATGGCAAGCCACAAAGATTCAGTTAGCTTAGCAATAATACGAAAGATAGATCGCTAGCGCTAAAAATAAATGCTTAAGATACCATTTCTACTAACAATGTTTCTATTAACAATTGGATCATTACAATGGAATCTGCGTAAGGAGAAATTCATTGGAATTTCTTGCAGCCTTATTCTGGTTTCTTATAAAAATTGTGCATTGTCATTAATAATGTCATTCATCAAAATATTGTCATTTAAAAACAAAAATATTTTGAAGCACTTAAAAGAATAGGCGATTTATCTAAAAATATGAAAAAAATTAGGATTTTCGTCAAATTAAAATTATTTCTTTTTTAAATAGAATGAAAATAAATTCGATTAAAATAAACCATTATAAGCATTGTAAATTTTAAAATGTTGAAATGCTTTAAAATTAACGGTTTTTTTCAGTTAACATTGACTTTTTGATTTTTTCAAATCAAAATTTTTTAAAATTAAAAATTAAAGAAATTTAAAATGAACAAAAAAATTGAATTAGATTAATTTCTAAAGAATTTTAAGGATTTAATTGGCAAAAATTAACAAAAAAAATAAAATATTTATTAAGTTAATAATCAAATGGAATATAAAAAACTGCATTCATGCAAAAAATTGTGCAAAAAGCAAAAAGCAGCTTCAGACGAATTCTCTACAGGTTATATTTTTATTTAAATTTAATATGTCTATACTCAAAATATTTATATTTACTGTATAAAATGAAATTTACCTATTAGCCACAATATTTAATTTATACTAAAATGAATTTGCAGTAAATTTGCAAAATTACTGTTCGCTAATTTGAAGATTGCATGTTATCTCGATATCGATCAAAGTATTTTAAAATTTATTAATAATAATATTAAAATTAATGATAAAAGAAATATTCAAAGTGATAAAATTAATATTTAGAAGCAAGATTACGAAAAAGAAAATGCAAATTAGTGAATGCATTGATAGAGTTCCATAAGGAAAGAATAGAAGATAGAAATCGAATTCAAGAAGCGATAAAAATGATAAAAAATTGCAGCAATTATTACAATGTATGATTTTTTGCTTAATCGAATTAGCTCACAGGAAAAAATTTGATTGAATTGAAATTTGCATTGAAAAAAATTCATCTTAAACAAGAATATCTATTTATAAAATTTATTTTATTAATATTTATCAAAATAAAAGAAAATAACAACAATAAATGGTGCTAACTTTTTCTCTGGATGATGTTGACGAAAGTGGATGCCGTCGTGCTGAACCACCGCCACCAAACGCACCATCGGCTCGACTTTGTTCTTTTTTTGCTTCTTCAGCAGCCAACCTAGCAATTTCATCAATTCCCATCAATTTTCCATGCATTTTTTTCTTTTTTTTATAATTTTATAATATTTCAATTTAATATTAATTAGTTTCCTCCTTCCTTTCTTTTTTTAAATCGAGTAATTGAGATTTGAATAAAGTAAAAATTTCTTGCCAACATAAATAGTGAGAATACAGCAATAATTATAATAATAATAGAGTTTAATTAAAAATATAATAAAATGCATTGAATGGTGGTTGGATGAAAATAATTTGATGAAGATGATGATGATTTATTCTATTGTTTCTTTTTAGGTACAAATTTTTATTTATTTATTTTCGAATGGAAAAATATGAAAAATAGCAGAAAAAAGTAAATTTATTTCTTTTTTATTTAGCAATTGGTGCGAATAAAAAGAGTAGTAATCAATAAAAAAATAGAATATTTTCGAATATTTCGATACGATTAACGACGATAATTTTATAAATCCCCTTTTTTCAGATATTTATATTTGTATAAATAAATTTGTTTAGAATTGAACGAACTGATGAGAATATTCGAAGTTTAAAAATAAATTGGAGAAAAAACTTAAAAAAATTGTAAAATTTGGCGATTTGTTTAGAAATGGAAATATTGAGTGTATAAGTGAGAAAAGAGGATGGTATCGAATAACTTTAAATGGATGCAATGAGAACGACTGAGAAAGACGCATAACGAATGGATATGAAATGTTTTGCGATCTATGTATGGTTGGTTGTTGCATGGATGCACGGATTCAATGGATATATGGATGGATATGTATGGATAAAGCTTAAATATACACATACAGATTTAGCACTTTTTTCATGCTAGATTATTCCTATATTATTGGATTAAATAAATTTATTAATATTAATTATTATTTTCAAATAAATTTTGAATATAATTTCTCGTAAAAATTTTTTTCCCGCTTTAATTTTTTATTTTATATAGAAATTAAAAAGAAATTTTTTTAGTTGAAAATTTAAGAATTTTTCATTTTATTTTTTGCGATTGATTATAAGAAATATTTGAATATAAATAAAATTATCAATAATTTTTCAAAAGAAATTTTTAAAATTTGCCAAAAAAAATACAAATTTTTACCTCGCAATTGTTATTTATTGTTATTTTATTTTTTGTTTTTTTATTGAAAAATCTTCTTTTTTCTTAAAAAATTGACCTATTTGTTGAAAATTATATAACTTTTTAAGATTTTTTTATAAAAGATTTTGCCCTTAATTGAAAAATTTGCTGATAAATAATGATCGGTTTTATACGAATTTATCACATAAATTAATTCCTCAACCAACTGATTAAAAAAGTATATATTAATAAAAAGAAAAATAGTTGGAAAGCAATTTTTAAGATAGTAACAAATATGCAAATTTTTATATTTATCAAAAAAGAATGATAAAGTGGTCATAAAATCGGAAAGACTCGATATTCACAATTTTTTTTTAAAAATATTCCAATGAGTGCTGCTATCGTTTTTGATTTACATAGCTCATTTAATTCTCAATGAGAATCTATCTCAGCAGAAAAAGGCGCTAAGTAGCACCTTTGAAGGGCATTCGACTATATTCTACTTAAAGTACCAATCATTATCGTTAGTAGTAAAATCCTTCTGCATTTAGAATAATTCATCTATAATTCTTAATGAGTATTAAGAATATTATGAGTATAATTCCTTGTGCGGAATTTCTTATACTATTATCCATTTTTATGAATTTTATGCCAATGAATTTCATTTTGAGAAAAAAGTTTTATATTTTCGATTAAAAATAAATTTTGTTTTAAAAGTAATGCACAAAATATTTTTGTTCTTCAAATTAATTGAATTGAATAATTTTGCTGAATAACTTAATAGGAATAGCTAAAGTACTGCGTAGAATCCTCAGTCTTTCTGGCCTCTGCTAGAGGTCCCAAGGCTGAGGATGATCATGACCACCCACGGGGGGCTGAGGAAAAGATTTTTTTATAATGATAATAATAATTCGAAGTTAAAATTTACTATAAATCGAAATCCTTATTTCCTCTTTCCATTCTCCAATCGTTAAAATATTCTTCTATATATTTTAATACAAATTTTTATTTAATTATTTATATTTGCATATTTCATATTTATTTTTTTCGTATTCCATTCATTAAATATATAGAAATATATATTTAAAATTTTAAGCATTTTAAGGCATTATTCGATTAGACGAAATGTGCCTTAATTGTTGTATTATAATAATGTTTTCGAAGTCTTATTGATTTTTATGAAATATGCTCGTTAAAACCGAGAAAAGTAGACGAGAAGCAGAATGAAAATTTGAAGAAATGAAACGAAAAATTAAATTTATACTACTTGTGCTAACAGCACTATTGCAACCGCAACTGATGGCACTATTCCAGCCAGTGCCCCTTTTATAAATGGTACGGTGGCTAGCAGTACTGCTGCTGCATTGTTATTATATGTCAGCATCATCAGTTCGCAAAAAAATCAAATTTCAACACAAAGTTATATCGTAATTAATGTATACACCTTGCGAAATGTATTCTGTGTTACGAAAACAGAATTTATGGTAGATGAGAAGAAATGAAATATCGATGAAAATGATGCAGTTTTTTTAAAGAACTCTCATTATTGCTGGCTGTACTGGCTTTGCTGTTTAATTTTGCCATGAAATCATTCGGCAATAGAAATATAGTTTATAGATGTTTGAAGGAAGATTTGTCCCTGTCGGATGTAGACTAGCCAGCCTTAACGACAAACAGCGCTCCAAACGCCAACCCACTCAGCCATTCTGTCCTGTTTTGCTTTCGTCATTCGACGACATTAGGCGACATTCGCATTCGCCGCAGGATGAAGTATGATGCATCGGCCAGACCCGATCCATTCTCAATTCTTAATGGCATTCTTCTTGTCATTAAGCCACCGACGCACCTATCTATTCAATTAATAAATGTTAAATTGTAACTTTGCTATATTTTTATAACTGAGAAAAAAATTCTAAACTTTATTTTCCCTAGACAATAAAGAAATTTGGAATCGCCTTTTAAAGCAAATCAGTGGTGCGCAAAAGTCATACTGGAAGTTGCATGCTATCTGCCGCAAAGCTTTTCATAACATTCATAGCTTTTTGGTTATAAAGCGCTTCAGTTATCAATAATTTTTTTTAGCATTAAACAAAATATATTTTTCCATTATCAATGCTCTTGAAAATCATTATATGCATAAGCATATTTTATTATTGTTTCTCTTATCTTATAAAGTATTTCATGAATATTTAAAGATATTTGAAACAAATATTTTCATATTTTGAAGTTATAAATAGCCGAGATATTCTGCCTATTTCAGTTCTTTATAGCTTCAAAATTTCTGAAAAAATTGTGAAGAGAGATAAGATAAACTGAAAATTTATGAGAAAAAAATGATATATTTTATAAGGAAAACGAGGATTTCACGATGAGTGCAGATTTCAGTTCTTTCTTTTAAAAAATGGAATGATATGCTTAAGGCGCAAGTAAGTGTTATCAAATAACACATACATACACATTATATACAAACTCATTATAATTCGCATCAATTCAGGTCGGACCTTTTTTATTTTTTCGATGTTGCGACCAAAAACATTTTCTAGAAATTGTGTCCATCATTAAATTAACTGATTAGACGGATCACATTTGTGATGCAAATTTGTTATCAACAAGAAAACGAAATCAAATTAACCATTGTTTTCAATTTTCCAGTTTTACTTTTCCAATGTATTTTACTTTATTTACAGTATTTTCAGAGAAGAAATGGATTTGAAATAGGCTTTTATGGATCTGAAGGAAGGGTTGCAAATCACAGTTTCCAAGCTTCAAAAAACCCACAGAAATTAAAATCAAATTTAAAATTAAAAAAATTAAATTTGTCCTATTTAGCATAAAAAATTAAGAATTATTTGAGATAAATAAATGATTCTACGATGAGATTACAAATGGGACAAATTTCTCTAAATGTCAATAGAAATTTTCTCTTAAGCGCCAACAGTGGCAAAATTACAATCTGATTAGGTATCGAAGTTGTAATTTGTAGGCACTTATCTTGCAACTATTTCGTGATAAGCTCAACGCATTATATCAGCAATTTTTCAAAAAAATGAAATTTTTTTAAGTTCGTTCATAGAACATTATAGTCAATTGAAAATCTTTTTTACATATTTTTTTATATTTTCTTTTTTTTTAAATTTTTCATTTTAAGTTTTTTATAGATCATACGATTTTCTAATATTTTAGTAAAATAATGAATTCCTTTCCATTTTCGCTCATGAAAAATATTAAATTGTGCATATTTTTTAGAAAGAAAATTTGATGATCGATATACGATGAAAAAATTAAATTAAATTTGAAAATTTAAATTTGATTAATTTAATTTCTTAGCATAAAAAATTGCGCAAAAAAAACGATGTGATGAGGGTACAATTTAGCATAAAGTCGGTTGATTTCAGCTGTTAACAGTAATTAGATGTTATTAAGATTATTAAATATTAATTAATATTCACCATTTCTGGCTAGAATAGTTTCGTTAGTCGTTAGTACAAAGGCAACTTTTTTCTCACTTAATGCTAGGCTTAGGCTTAGGAGAATTGACTGCGAACTGATGATGCTAGCATATTGCATTAACTAGATTTTTTAATGACAAACGTAATTCACCTGCCACTTTTAGATTAACTCTTGTCGAGTAAAGAAGCTGCATCTTTTTTTCATAACGGTAATCTGAATCACTTAGCTATCCTGTCCTGTCAGACAGGGAAAAGCTAAGGCAATAATCTTACTTACTATGTATATCTTTTTGAATGTATATCTTTTTAAATATATATATATATATATATATATAAACATATAAAAGTGCATTATGAGAAAGCATCGAATTTCAATTATGATTTACAGAATCCTAAAATTTTTATAAAAATGAGAAAATATTTTTGAAATTTTACCGATTACGTCGATATGACAAATAGGAATAATAAAGAAGTTCAAAAGTTCCAGGTTT